ATTTATCATATATCATATATATCAAATATATATGTGTAGCTATCACATATATATATTTTATCTCTCTCTCTCTCATATATATCATGTATTTTGTATTGAAATAGATGAGGGAGAGAACTGCTTAAAAGGGATATATGAATGGGTATTTTGTCATTACAGAAGTCCAAAGTGAAGGCTGAATATTGGAGTGGACTTCGGGGGAGGGACTGTGTAACGATGAAAGAGTTTTTCTTTCTTTTCAAGGAGAAGAGTGAATTGGGGATTGGCGGGGGGGGGGTGCAGGAGAAAAGTGCAACAATGAATGACTGGAAACCCTAAGTCTCTGGAAACTTTCATTAATATTAAATTATCATCTCTAATACAAAGCTCTTCTTCTTTCTTCCTAGTCTGTCTTAATCTGTATGTTCAGATTTAGAGAAGTATCACACTGGCCAGCGTTTTACAGAAAGGTGAAAGATATATCCCTTATTGTGGAGTTAACCATTCGTATCAGTGTTGTCCCTGCCCTTGGCACACGTGTCTTTACTCACTTATTTCCCTGCTCCCCCATCCGCCAGGATACCCATCCACTTCTACCCACTCCTTTCAGTATCCATCTCCCGTTGTCCCCCCCTTGATCTGATATCTTATATCTGAAGCTTCCTTGGCTTCTGTGATTCCAAATACGTTGGCTTCTGACTAGGAAGAAGGATTGGCCATCCACTTCTGAAATAGCAAGCCTCCAAAAACCCTATGTATACTTTGGACATGTCGTAAGGAGGGAGAGGTCCTCGGAGAGGGACATCATGCTTGGGAGGGTAGAGGGACAGTGGAGTAGGGGAAGGCCCTCTATGAGGTGGATTGATTCAGTGACTAGAGTAATCGGGATGGGAGTGTCAGAGACAGTGCGAATGGCACAGGACAGAGCAGAGTTTAGGGCTATTGTACATAGGGTCGCTATGAGTCGCAAGCGACTCGACGGCACATAGCAAAAACAACAACACAAAACTCAAACATGTGGCCATTGTGTTGGAACTGATTGATGGCTGACCCCCCTCTCAGTTTTCAGAGGCTGTAAATTACAAAAGAGGCGAACACCTATTTTCCTCCTCAGAGCAGCTGGTAGATTTGAACTATAAGCAGAAGAACCCCCCACCCACTAGACCACAAGAGTTCCCTAGAGTTTCATATGCCTCGCGAAGTATTTAATTATTGTGTTATTGTACTACTGTGTCCAACAGATAATAAGACTGCTGTAATGTACTGTCAATTCTGCACTGAGTCACAGCTGACCCTACAGCAGGGTTTTTGAGGCAGGAGATCAGACTCGAGATGGCCCACCTACCTTCCGTGGCACAGCTAGTGGATTTGAAGCATGTGCCTTTGCGGTGACAGTATAGTTCTTCACCAGTAGGCCAGGAGAGCTCTCAAGATAACAAGATTACTGATGAGAAAATATATAAAACTAACTCCTAGATGTTAACAGTGAAGTTAGAGGTTAAAAGGCTGCCAAACACATGACAGTCAAAGAAGTCCAGTTACTCAGCAAGTTACAAGGATTTGATGTGATAGATGAACTTCAACTAATGTTACAGAGCAAAATGTGCATGCATGAATGAAAACCAATTTAACAAAAAAAAAGAGGAAAAAAGATCCACAGCTCGTTAGTAACTTAGGTGATGCAACCTGGAACCACATTTGCCTGCTCTCTGGTCTGAAAATGACCTCATTTCTCCGACCTTGACAAAGGCACACCTCCTGAAAGCATCTGTATTTTGCAAGATGCTGGATATTATTCCACACTCTGTCTATGTATATGTGACTACTGTCTTTCTCTTTACTCATCATTTGAAGATATTTCTTTTTGGTTTTTAAAATGAATCGCATTACATCTCCATGCATTTGTTTTCTCTTAACAACTGCTTATGAGAACCCAATGGTAATTGAATTGATCAAAAACTCATTTGTTTACCCATAAATTCAACCATTGAAAACAAGTTAAAAAAACAAAACAAAGACTCCTGAATCTATTTTACATTCTTTTTCAGCAAAACTAAAATGACTATGACTTAGAAGCAATGTCTACATTTCAGACCATCAGTTGGCACGTCCCTGTCCACACACAAGTATTTTTATGTTTTTATCTTTTCCCCTGTTCTGAGCTAGTAAGGTAAACTGTTTTGCTCTATTAAGCAGGGATAAAGACACCGTGCGTCTCTGTGGAGGCTTCCAGCTTTCTCGCTAGTGTTCTGTCATATCGCTCTGCACAGCAATGTGAAGGGAATGGTTTACCAGCATCAAAAACAGAACAAAAAAAACCCAAACAAAAAACAAAAATACCAAAAAACCAAAACAAAAACCAGAACAATGTGAAGGGAATGGTTTACCAGCATCAAAACCAGAACAACAAAAAAAAAAAAGCAACAAAAAAACAAAACAAAACAAAACAACAAACCAAAAAATAAAACAAAACAAAACAAAAAAACAATACCAGAACAATGTGAAGGGAATGGTTCACCAGCATCAAAACCAGAACAACAACAAAAAAACAAAAACAAAAACAAAAAAACCAACCAAACAAAAAAAATAAACAAAACAAAACAAACCAACAGAACAATGTGAAGGGAATGGTTTACCAGCATCAAAACCAGAACAACAACAACAAAACAAAAACAAAAAACCAAACAAACAAAAAAATAAACAAAACAAAACAAACCAACAGGACAATGTGAAGGGAATGGTTTACCAGCATCAAAACCAGAACAAAAAAACCAAAAAAACAAAACAAAACAAAAAACAAAACAAAACAAATAAAACAACAACAACAACAACAAAAACCAGAACAAAGACAAAACCACCAAGAGTACGTTAGGGATACAGGTGGAACCCCCACAACAAGCACGTTCTTTTGCACAAACTGTGCCCGATGTCACTTAGTGTTTTACGAGAGAAGGAAACAGACGCAGCCCTGTGTTACTCGTGCTCCCTTTGCAGGACACACTTCAGTTAGCGACTCTGTGGTGTCAGCTGCCAGCATGTTCTCTTCTCTGCTTAAGACACAGGATGCTCGCCTTTCCCTTCAGCAGCTGCTGGTGAGGGCTTTACTCTGGGATAAAATGCTCTTCATGCCTGTAATCTAGATTAGAGCTCTTCATATAGCCCATAAACGTCAATTAAATGCCTCTAACCTTTTGCATAACACTTAAAATGGAAAGACTCTTGCTTTCTAGGTCAGCTTTAGCTTTGGAGTGTATTTGCAGCCACAGAGCTATAAAAAGGTGGGTTTTCATTTGCTTCGAGTGCTTGGGCTTTTCATAACTGTAAAAATAGCGTAGGAAAGAAAGGTACGTAGTTTTCCAACCATCATAATAAAGGTGCGGGAGGCAGAGCCTTTGTCCTTTGACACACTTTACTGTGAAGATGGTGGAAAATAACAGGTTAAGGGAAATAATGGCAGAGTGGGCAAAATTCAGCAGTAGTAATACTGGGCGGTCTAGTTCTGAGTGGCAACAACACCACAGGGTAGAAAGGAAGACGGATAAGTTCTCTCATGACAAAGAGACTCTCAATTATGTTCATTCACTTGTTCTATGATTTGCATTGGAAAGCATTTTCTAAGGGCAGCGATCATCATGTTACTGTAGCTAAAAAAGATTGAGGAATTGCTGATGGTTGAATACGAGCTCCCAACTGGTTGGGAAGGAATGAATGTAAAGTGCTCTCATGAATCTTGAAGGAAGTCAAGCACTGATCTAAAGGAGCTCTGGTGGCCTGTGCTTCTATACTAGGCGAGCGATTAACAGAAAGACAGCAGTCTGTACCTACCAGGAGCTTCACAGGAGGGAAGAGGACGTGGTTCCACTAAGATTAAAGCTTTGGAAACCTCCAGGGGCAGCCTTCCTCTGTTCTACAGGCTCACCGTGAGTTGGAATCAATGAGCTGAGAGAATTTTGGTCTGTTCAAGCTTGTACAAAGGAGCCCTGGGGGTGGACTGGCATTAAGGTACAATGGAAAGATGAAGGGTCCAAACTGACCAGCGGCCTCACTATGTCAGAAAAGACAGTTCCAACCTGTGTCAGAGTGTCACTATGACTCAAAATTGGTTCAATGGTTCATAACAACAACAACAACAACAACAACGAAGTGTATTTAGACGGTAACCTTCATCCTAGAGGCACAACCATTCCCCTCTGGAAAACATTCCTCAGTGTAACTTTGAGAAACAGGTTACCACCTCTATCCACACTCGAAATAAACTATCGGAAGTGATTTTCATATGCTTTATTTATACAAATCACCCCATTGTCAATTCCTGATCTTTAGCTATTAGCTATTAGCCATCCAGATTTGTCAAAAACAAACAGAACTCCCCCTTTTCTTAAAGAAAATAATAACCAGTTAGTTTACGGGTACCTTCTAATAATCCCGCTTGTTTGTATACCTTGCTAATCATCACAGGGCAACGCATGGCCTCAATTTACTTTGCCTGTATAAACACCAAGCACACAATGACATCTTCCATGTAGGGCAGGGAGGAATGCTCTTGCATGTCTGTGCATGGTGAGTGTGCATGTATGTAGGCATGGTGTGTGCACGTGATGAGTGTGAGTACGCACGCCTGTGGAGAGGAAGTGTGTATGCGCATGGGGGGGTGTATAAGTCTGCACATAATGACTGTGTGTGTGCGCGCGTAGTAAGTGTTGTGCACACAGGGGAATGGAGTGCACGGTAAGTGTGTGCGCGCAGGCATGGTGATTTTGCAGGTGAAAACGTGTGTCTGTCGATGGTGAGTTTATGTGTCTGTGTATGAGAAATCTATGTATATGCACAAGCTGAGCAAATGTGTGTTTGGGAAGTATGTGAGTATGTGTACATGATGAATGTAAAAGGGTGAAAGAGTAAGAGCAGGCTGTATCTGAAATTCTGAGACACTACTTTCATAGACAATTCATAACTGAACCAGAACTGTATTTTCACACCCTTAACCGCATGGCAGTGAAGGCGTAAGGTTGTTTCCTTACCTTCAATGGCGGACAGGAGGACCCGGGAATGATCATAGGCGATCACGTTTGCATATCTATTCTTTGGTTTGTTTACTTCCAGGTTCGAATGCTCCCAAGTGAACTGCTGGCCAGGGTCAATCGACTTCAAAGAAAAAAAAAAAGCACACACACAATCAATACTAAGTACCACGAGTTACAGGCGTTTACCCCTGTAACAAACATGATTGAGAAAGACATTTCTGAGGCGATCCCGGCTGTGAGGCTGAACATTCGTAGAAGCAGCAAAACATGAAATGATTCATCATAGTAAGAACCAGTCAAAGTCCCCGGCACTGGTTCAAGTGGGACAGCCTAAATCAATACAGATGGGCTGCTGCTACTCAAGGGCAGACTTTCATTTTTTAAATTTGTTTTTCTTTTTTCCAGGCCTCTCTCTTCTACTGTGGTTTATAAGTGATTTTAGGGACATATTCTTCCTAGGTCTGTGAATGTTTTTACTCGCAAGTCCTCTGCTCAAGTTTTTGCTAATTAGAGCTAATGAGTCAGCTAGTCTTTGAAGCCGACTGACTAGTCCTGCACTGGCTTCATAGACACTCGTTCTACCTTCTCTCTTCAAGTCCAAGTTCAAATACTTATGGCAACCTAAGGCTTCAACTGTTTCTGGAGAACATATCATGACCCGTATCCCAGAGCAATTTGTCCCAATCAGTTATTTATAAACAGGAAAGAGTACTGTTGTTGGTAGGCGGCAAGCTGGTCCCAGCTAACAGCAGCTCTAATGCGGAACAGGGTGAAAAGGTAGACTCCCGTGTCACGTTCACCTTCCCCACTGTGCGTGAGCCCACTGCTATAGCCCCTGTGTGAGCTCATCTTCCGGAGGTGGTGACTTTTAGTCCCACTGTCTACTTTACCAAGCATGCTGTCCCTCTCCAGGGACCGCATCTTAAAGCAATAATCAATTCAGGGCATACAGACTCTAACTTGTTTTCTATTTATCAGTACATGCTTTATAATTATTTTATTGTTATTATTATGTGTCATCCTTATTTATGATACTGTGTGCCTTTAAGTAAAATTCAACTCGCAGACACCTGCATGACAGCTCCAAGTGGCTTCCTGGCTGGAATCTTCACTAGAATAGATAAGCGGGTATTTCTTCTTATACTATCCTGGCTTCTAATCATGTTTATGTTGTTGAGGACCCTACAGTCAGAACCAACCCAGAGCTGACCCTCTAGTGGGTTTTCAGAGGCAGTTTATCTCATGAGAGGAGACTGCCTATCCTTCTCCCACAAAGCAGCTGGTGGCCTCGAACCATGTGCCTTTAGGATTACAGCACAGCTTCTTGCTAGTAGGCTACCAGAGCTCCCTATGATGTTTATAGATTTTGTTTATTTCCATAATTTATCTTTTATGACTTTTAATGCCTTCATTTCCTACTCAGTTCAACTGAAATCTGCTAACTACATAAAATACATCTTAAACTGATACAAAATAATATATACATTCATTTTTATAGTTAAATACCATCATAGCTTGAGGACTAAACTGAAGGGACTTTTAAAATTTCCTGCAACAGTAAAGAAATCACAACTCACTATTTGTTCATCATAGGATACTGACACCTCCTTCAGAGTTGTAATTTCATGGTGTATGCAAACACAAATTAAGTAATTACATAAACATTATTTTAACATATCAAAATGAGCTTTCCAGAAATAAGTAATGACAAATTAGTTTTATCTACAGGTAAAATGAAAAGAAAATAGAAGGGCATTTTATAATGTTAATAGAATTTATAGCTGTTATTTTTTATGGACTGTTTATCCATGCTTTTAAGAATCCTTGTAAAATTTGAACGTAAAACCGTATATAACAACTACTGCAATCTTAGAAATGTGAACCCTTTACCTGTTACAAGTGAAGGAGTTCAACACAGAAGGAAAATTCACCAGTGTAAAGCATCACATTTATTAACACCCTGTAAATATACTCACTAGTAGATACTCCTGCCTTTGATTTAATATGTATTTTAAAACCCCTTTTCTTTCTCAATCCATGTTCATCTTTAGCTAAAATAGTCAAGCATTGAGTCATTGTTGTTATATGCCACAGAGTAACTGTTACTATCGCGACCCTAAGTATTACAGCTCTGAAACCTGTTCTATCCTGAGCCAGTCTCACTGACGCCAACACACTTAATCCCACTGACCCAACTATCATGTCAACCCATCTCATCTGGAGTCTTCCTCTCTTGTGCTGTCCCTCCACTCTTCTAAGCATGATGTCCTTCTCCAAGGACTGGTCCCTCCTGGCTACCTACATCCTCAAAGTATGTAAGACGAAGCTTTAAAATCCTAGCCTCCAAGAAGAAACTTGGTTTCACTCTCTCTAAGACAGACCTCCTTGTTCTCTTGGCAGTTCATGGTATGTTCAATATTCTTCTCTAGCACCACAACTCACAGGCATCGATTCTTGTATGTATGTATGTATGTATGTATGTGTGTGTGTGTGTGTGTGTGTGTGTGTGTGTATATATATATATGTTTGGCTACATTGGTTTTATGCTGGATAATGGCTGCTTGTAGAGGGTCATGTATGGAATATTCGGGGTTCTTTTGGCTTTATTTAATGGGTGTCAGGGGATTGGATTTGCCAGATGAATTGGGGGTCTGTGGCTCATAGTCCACCAGTATTCGGGTATGTCCGAATTAAAAAAAAAAAAGTGGTAAGGCCCTTGGGCCTGTGGCTCTCAGTTCAAATGTTAACTGATTTCTGGATGAACATTCTTTTAAGTTGTACATCAGTGCTCTTTCTATTTGCTCTACCAAAGTAACTTAGAGTTACTGTGATGATGAACAACTGTGCCACAGGTGTGTCAAACACCATGACTGTCTACCCATCTTGGGCAGTGTTTGGTGGAGCTCCCAGGTGGACTGAAGTTTGGAAGCAGGAGTAGCATCCACTTCTTAAACCACATGCCTCTGAAAACCTTATGAACTTGGAGAAACAACAATGAAAGATATAGAAAGGCTTCAAGGCCTTTTGTGTCTCTCTCTCTCTCTCT